GCAAGAATTATAGCAAATATCATATCCTCAAAAAAAAAAAAAAACAGAATCTTTTATTAATTAAATAAATGAAAATTTTTGAAAAACTTACTCTTTGACCACGAATAGTATGTGCAACTATTTGTCCAATTTGAGTTCGTATACTTGGTTGTAATATTAAACATCTTGCACAAGTCATAACCATTCCTAAATCATGTTCATACATATCAATTATATTATGTAAAAGTTTTTTTTCTGCATTTGATAACCAACGACGTAAATCAAAATTTGGTTGAATAGTAAATTTTTGTTTTATACGACTTAATGTTAATGTACTTATTATTTGATGATATGTATATGTTAATTGTTGTGTTAAACATATTGGATGTTCATTTATATAAGAGATTAAAATAAATATTAATGGTTCTTTATGTAAAAATGTTATACGACAACGACCAGCTTTTATATAATTTAATTGATTTGAATCAGTTAATTCAGAAAATGAAACAAGTGTTTGCATAACACCCATTAAAGTTACTAAATGTTCATCATCACCATATCTAAATTTAGTTTTTAGAAAATAGGTTTAATTCAGAAAGAATATTCATGAATAATAAGAATAGAGGGAGTTCTTTTTTTTTGCTTGGCGAAGGAAAGAGAAATGTTATACGGTCATGTGAGAAGCAGATAAGTGTGACGAATAGAGAGGTCATTCAAAACAATGGATAAGAATCATGATAATTTTTATCATTCGATAGATGACGCAGTATTTTCATCGTTAAAGATTTTTCAATATCACTAAAATATATTATGCTATGTAAGTTATGATTTAACACATATCTGGTGAAGATTATGATAGCAAAAAATTTATTGAATATTCAATAGATATTACATAAGTGTTTCTTTTTTTCTGTTGTATGATTCGTGTGAGATGAATTGAACTTCAACTAATACCTTGTTGAATTCAAGAAGAAAATAAATCATAACATCTAATGATCAATAGCAAATAGCATTAAGTGTTGTAAAAAAATATTCTTTTTAACTATCGTGAGATCATTATATTTGATCTTATTGCTTATGTAAACTGTAACAAAATCTAATTTTGAAATAGTATTAATTTATATCTATTGATGATTCGTATCGAACTAGTCTAAACTAATGAGTAGAGCCCATTGGATCCAAAATTTTCAGACCTGGGTCCAATCGTATTATGTCACTAAGGTACCCAGCACATTCCGCAAATGATTAAATCCATAGGATCCAAAACTTTTCGGACCCCCGGTGGGCTTCTACTGACAGCTAAGCTCGTCCTTTTTGTATTATCCGATTAAATATGAACATTTGAAACTTTAAATTTACCTTGTAAAAACAGGTTTACCATTTTCACTTAAAATAAAAAGATGTTTTAATTTAGTTTTTAATAAATTCATCTGTATATCATCATCATTATCATCATGAATATCTTCTTCAATATTTGTACTTGCTAGAATCGGTGTTGAATTTGTTCCACTTGTTGTTGTATCATCATCAACTGAAAGATAACTCGTTGAATCATCAGCTAATATCTATACATCACTGAGAAAAAATAAGAATATTATCTCAAAAAAAAAAAAAAAAAAAGGAAAATGGTTTTTTTTTAGAATAATTCTTACAGTATTTGATAAATCATTTGTTATTTCTGATTGTGATAAATGCATAGAATTTCTTCGTATTAAATTAATTAAACCAACTGATGGTTCATTATCATCTTCGAAAATAGCTGATTCATCATGAATTTCTTGTGAATTTTCATAGGATGGTAAAGATTCAAGCATTGTTGTTAATTCATCTGTACTATCATTATGTTTTGTTTGTAAAAGATTAACCATAGACGTTGTCATCATCTACAAAAAAAAACAAAAGAAAGAAACTTTATTAAATATATAATTAATTTGTTGAATTTCGATGATGTGTTCTTCGTCGTCGTTTAGTAATACGTGTTTTATTATTATTATCAAATTGTATACGAGAAAAAGATTTTTTATTAAATTTTTTTCTTATTGTTTTTACTAATGTTGTAACATGTTTTATTTCAATATCTTCATTTATAGTTATTTTTTCATTTTCATCATTATCACTTCCATCAATTTCACCATCTTCTAAATTATTTATTTCTTGTTTAAGACCATATTTAATCATTAATGGTTCTATTCGTTTATTATAATTTTGAAATGATAATCTTGTATAATTACGATCATGTATTGAAAAAATACTGTTACGATAGTTTATTGATGGTTGATTTTGTTGTATTGTTGTAATTTGAGAGGGTATAGTTATTTCATTTTGAATTATACGCCAACAACCTGGATGATCAGGTGTTGGAATTATAGGATTTGATGGAGGTATAGGAATTGTTTGAGATGTTGTCGATGGTTTTTTAAGAGATTTCTTTCGAGACTCAGAAGTTCGTTGCATGAACTTCATATTACGAAGTGTATTCGAGAGATCCGACATCATTAGAAAAGACAACACGTGAAAAGCTGTACGATAGCAATTCTTGCTCTTATTGTTATTTATTCTTCGAGAGGGATATTTTTAAAATTGATTATACGAACTTAATCATAACGAATGAATTATTGTAGGTTTATTATTAATAAAGAAATTCAATAGGAAAAAAAAAATTTTTTTAAATTAATTAAATATATAAGAAATTTTAATGAGATTTGTGTTTAATTATTTGGAGTCTTTATAGATGTCGCTATCATACAATCATGATGTTGACTGAATTGTTACATTAAAAAAAACCGATGGCAAAAACTTGTTTTTTTGTATTTTTCTTTAAGGTGAATGGAAGAAATCGGATTGGATTTTATCGAAACTCGAAAACAACAACTTAAAGAGTGATTCATCAAACATATAGGCAATTTCATCACATTTTTATCTCTTTTCGGCATTCTTTTATCAATCGTTTTGAATTGTTCTGTTCGTATGATGTTCTTTTCTTTTGAGTACCGAATTGAGATTAAAATGATAAAAGATAGCTTGATGAAAGTATCGGATTACTTAACACATATCATCAAAGATAACCGTTGGTATCTTTTTCTATATACCATTATCAGCGCATTATATATGTATTAACAATATTAACTTAGTATAGACGAAATTAATGTTAAATATATCGATGATGTATGAATAACAATCCTATTCGCTTGATGTTTGAGTAGTTATTGAGGTTTTCACATAGTTTATATTCTAACATAATATATGACTAATGAGAAAGAAAAAACATGACTGAATGATATTGCTTGGTGGATAAGGTTGTTTATTTAACTCATGTTGGCTTCTACTTCTAACTAATGACCATATGACTGCCATGGCTGAATGGCTTCATTGTTCGACATGCAAACCTCAGTACCATCAACTATGAAAGAACTTCGAACAAATTGCTAAACAGCTATTTGTTTCAAATCACCCGTTCTATAGCATACTGACTACGTTACAACATATACCTGCTGTTGGAGCTAGTTAGTGTGTATGAGGAGCTCAAGCAATGAGCGCAAAAACTTTGCGTCAGATCAGCCTTTTGTTCAGAGATACAACTAGTCATAATTGTAGAGAAGATATCGGGATATTGAATCTGCCGCTAGACAGCACCCCATACCAGAAAGTAGTTGAAAGACAGGAGTATCCTTCCTTCTTCCTAATAACCATACATTTAACTAATAAGATTATCTACTGTCAACAGTTGACATATTGATTAAACTTTTGATAATGTTTGCTTGTGATGTCAAAGACACTTATCAAAGTGTTATATACACACAATCTATCTTCAAATATGTTTATTCTTATATATACAGTGATTCTTCCTTTCAAAACTATTCGATTAGATTTAATTTCGATTTTTTTCCATTGCTGTAAACACTAATAAGAACCTGAATAATGGCTCGAATAGAGAATTTTGTTTTCAATAAAACTTTTCGAAGCTGAAGGTGACTGCAAGTTTTTTAAGGGTAGGATTTTTGAAAAACAAAAATGGAATTTTTTCAGCTCGTAGAATTTTGATTGAAGTACACAGAAGGATAGAATAAACGATTCTCTAAAAAACTAATTGTCTTCCAGCTCTCGTCGACGTTTTTT